CTAATCTCAGTGCCTTCCTTACCATTAAACATTTATTTAGTGGGTATTTCCTTCATCGACTTCAATGCATACGCTGGACAATTTATACCACTTGTTATGATAGCTGCATATGCCATTATACTCATTAGCGTATACCGTCGTCGCAAGATTCATAGTGCCTCCAGCCAGCACCAGTCACTAGCAGAGGCTCGACTCGTGAGAAAAAGAAACTGTCTCGAATGTTGAAAATAAATGCACATGCTTTTAGGCATTGCAATTCATAATCATCTGCACTTCCCAATATCTAACCACATTCTTATTTTACATCATTCCTAAGTTGGGAGGTGGAAGTTACTGGGGCATACTCGTGATGAACAGCATAGGTATGTCAGCATGTTGACTTACCGTAATTTTTTGCTAAGCTTAGGCAGGTTGTCAAAAAGGCGAAAAGGCGGGAACTGTTATTAAGCTTCACATACTGTCCTATGTGAAATGTGGCGCTCCTATATTTGCAGCACTTTGAATGAGCTAAAATTTTAAATAAAACCTAATTAATACGAATTGATCATTCTTGCTCTGTCTTGTAAAAGCGTGCAAGTGTCAAATTAGAGGTCATGAAAAGCAATATTAGATTATTCTGCTGACAACCTTGTATCATCAACGGTTCATAGCAAATATAATTTCTTTATTCTTTGGCACCAGGACCCACAAATTCAATAACATTCTGAGGAGCTAAACTTCTTACAAGGCAACGTTTTTCACTTAAAGCAGCCATTCCTAACTAAGCGTGTGCCAAGATATTTCGGAAAGGCTTACTCTAAATCTCTTTCATACCTATTAAACGGTTCTTCGGAAGATACATGGTCCCACTTTCTCGATCTCTACTCAGTCGTGGTGCGCAGGGTTGAATCCATGTGTAATTGCAAAGTCAGCGGAGCTTTGTCCTGTAGCAGGCTCTAAGTTGAAAAAGAGCTTAGGCTCGCAGCCTTTCAGATGCCCAGCCAGGAGCAGACCTCGCAAAAATGGTTTGGCTGATTTAATCACCAAGTGGTCCTA